TTTTCATAAGATGGGTCATCTTCCGGGGGTGCTTTCTTGCTCCCGGAGATATACCCCCACTTGCCTCTACTGCAAACATGAATTTTTACTAATTGCGACCATGCTAGATAGTTGGTTCCATCCAACTTGACTGTGGTCACAACCAACAGTGAGTCTACGGGAGCTCCCGAAACCTATCCAGATTCAGCCCCACACTTTATTTTCAACTCCCGAGATACCCATCTTCCTCAAACAACTCCAAAAGAACTTCAAATAGCTTCAAATAACAAGCAAGGAAGACAGGAAAAAAAAAAGACACCAAATACCAACCTCTATGAAGTTGAATATGCCAGCTATGTCTCACACGGAACACGGGAGAAATCAGAAAACAGCAGCCGCTCCTTGTAGGCTTTACAGAACACCACAAGACTTGAATCGATCTTCAAGAAAAGGAGAAAGAACCCCTTCAATCACTGAGCGCCAAGGTTAAGCTCCTTGTGGGGCCCGCAAACAGAATTCTCCAGTTGATTAGGGTTTTGGGCAAAAAACTCCAGGGTTTGTCAGAATGATGACCAAGACAACATCCTTTTCTCCAAAAATCCACTAACAACTGGGCTAAAAGATTTCTTCAATCACTCATTCGATTCAGCTCTCCATACACACTGTGTATGGAAAAAAAGAGGAGAAAGAGAGCCCGTTCTGATACCAAGAAGAAAAACAGTCCTAAGGAATGAGAGGACTGATTTAAAAGTTGTGAAAAGGTGTTAGATATCAGTAGTAAAGAGAAAAGGAGAGGAGAGAAGAAGAAGAAGAAGAAGAAGAAGAAGAAGTTGGCGGCAATAGGGTTTAGAGAGAAGTCAATCGAATGTTTTCTTTCTTCCCTAATCCTTTTCATTAAAACATAATTTATAAAGTTTTGGTATTTACAGAGAGTCCCTTAATTAGGCGATTAGCTTAATTAAGCATAACATAAAGAAGTATAAAAAGGCCCATTAGTTAGAAGGCCCATTAACAAAATAAACAGAAACATAAACAAATAAAAGCCTCCTATGGGCCATTCGGCCCATTCTCTCTACACCATTATAAGACTCAATTCTAAATGGACCCCAAACATCTAAATGAAGCAAAGCAAAAGGACTCAACATACAACTATCAATTCTAGGACTGAAGGAAACCCGATGGTGTTTTCCATACTGACACGACTCACACTGCAAAGAAGACAGACGACTCAATGATGGAACAAGGAGCTTGAAAGCTTTAAGAGATGGATGGTCGAGTTTACAATGCCAATGAAGAGGAGTCAAAGAGGTTTGAAGTACAACTGTAGAACCACCACCGTCAAAGTAATACAATCCACCAGTTTCATATCCTCCACCAATCTTCCTCCCCGTCGTGAGATCCTTAAAAACACAAGAGGAAGGGTAAAATGTGATAGAACAATTGAGGGATTTGGTTAGTTTACTAATAGACATAAGATTAAAAGGAAACTTGGGGACATATAAAACAGAAGACAAAGAAAGAGATGCTGCGTTAACATTACCAACACCGCAAATGGGGGAAGTAGATCCATTGGCAAGGGTAACATTATGTGATGTGGAGGTTGGAGAAAGAGAGGAAAACACACCTAGAGTCTCGGTCATGTGATCAGAGGCTCCAGAGTCAATTATCTAGGGGGAAGGTTTGGATGCTAGGTAGGCCATACCTGAATGAGTAAGGGTGGCAGTATTCTGATGGGAAGTGGCCTTAAGGAATCTCTCATACTCTTCTCTTGAAATAATTATCATCTCCTTCCCAAAAGTAGTTGTGACTGAAGAAGGTGTTGGATCAACTGGTTGAGTATCACTGGCTTCAATTCCACCAACAACTGCATGATTAGCCCATGTGGATGGTGGGTCATGCAGATCATAACAAAAGTTAACTGTGTGTCCATCTCTCCCACAATGTGGGCATTTTCTAGTAGTGCTTCCTCTTCCTCTGGCACAGCCTCCCCCTGAATCACGACCTCCACCACTGCTACGACCAAACATAGGGTTACCATGGCCTCTTTTAACTGTACGACCACCTCCTCTGTGCCCATAAGATCCTCCTCGAGTTCCAACAAGTGCTGATTTGTCGGGAGATATGGTACTCTCTGTGGGACTAAGAGAGATCCTACGAAGACGGGCAAATACTTCTTCTAAAGTAGGGAGAGCAGACCCCCTAATATTTGTGCTCTGATTGGTTCATACTCTGCTTTCAGCCCCACCAAGAACCGGGTAATATCTAGTTGTTCCCTTTGTTGTTGTTGAATTTTGACATCTAGAGATAAGGGATGATAGACATTAAGTTCATTCCGAAGATTTTTCATACTGGCATAATATTCTTTAAGGGTCTGATTTCCTTGCTACAAACTGAAGTTTCCATAATAGAGTTTCTTAGCGTGTTCCCATATATCCTTTGTTGTGTCTAAAAACATGAAGTTAACACTAATTTTAGGCTCCATACTATTCCACAACCACGCCTTGACTTGAGCATCCTCCTGCTCCCAATCACTAAAACCCGGAGATTCAATAGTAGGTTTCTCCTCTTGTACATGTTTCACTTTCTTCTTAGCCCACTGACTTAGCCCATGGTAAGTAGTTTTCACCGTTAAGTTTGATGGATGTCATCTGCACACTTGAAAAATTAGAGGAGATCACCACACTCAATTTTTGGTCACCACTCACATCACCCATCGATGCCATTTCAATCTACGAAGCTGGTTCTGCCCGCCAGAAAAAAAAAATCTCAATCCCAAACACTGTAGCTATTGTTCTTTGAATACTACACCAATACATGGAGGTGTAAAACGGGTCGTGTCACCCGAGGCCCGGCACGGCCAGACATGAATTTGAGCCGGCCCGACACGATGGTCCGCTGGCCGTGTTGGGCCTGGGGTTTTAGGTCCACGGGCCGGGCCGGCACGGTAGAGCCGAGTAGGCCGTGCCGCCCGTGGCCCGCCTGCCGGCATGGCCTAGCCCGTAGCTCGGCCCATATATTATATATATTTATATAGTATTATATAAATTATAATTATATAATAATATAGTATGTAATATATTAATAAAATAAATATTTTTTAATTTTATTGTACTAATTTATTTAATTATTGTATATATAAGCAATTTTATACATCAAAATTCATATAAATTTAAAATTTTAAGTTTTTTGTCAATTTTTTTCGGCCATTTCTGACGACCCATTTTACACCTCTACCAATACACTCATAATCACCACGAACCTGCCCTAGCATACATTCGGCCACTTCAGTGAACAAACAGTTTTATAACCACAAAATATCCCTCTTGAAACTGCTCATTAGAGGTTCAGACCACCACAACTATAACCACCACGGCTGTCACGCATGGTGACAGTAGTCCAAAATTTTTTTTTTCTTTCATTGGGACTGTCGCACTCCCCCCCCC